AAAAATTATATATCGTATGTAGGATGATTCTCTTAAATACATATTAATACTTTAGATTATATAATATGGAGAAACTCAAAACTAGAGAAGGATATTATGAATATAGATGATTTTGTGCTTTCTGAATTAGATAATAAATTTTTTTTTTTTAATTTAAAATATTTATAATTATGAATCATTCTGTATATATTTAAAATGATATATTTATATAATAAATATGTCTTCAAACTATTATGCAGTCTACAAGTGAGCAATTGTTTCACACTAAAGCGAAACCATATGTTGCTTTGCATCCAATGAGCTTTTTTGGAAATCATCCACAAGTTTTGCAAATCGAAGAAACGGATGTAATGTCAATGCCAATGTTTAAGAGCAAAACTCCCGTTAGTTGTAAACATCAGATATTGGCATATCTGTAAGTTTTTGTTTTGTGTGTGTGTGTGCGCGCGCGTGCATATCAAATGTAAGTAAATTTAAACATTTCATTTAATATGCTAACAGGTCTCTCTTGGAAACTACAAAACCATATCTAGTAAATACTTTAAGAATGCCTGGCGCACAAACGTTGTTATTATTTGCACACGAAATAGACACAAATAGTACATTCTCTATGTAAGTATGTTATCTTTGTAAATTTTAATTTCTTAGTTCATAGTTTCTAAGTTTTTATTAAGATAGTAACAGTTTAATGATAAGATAAAACTGTTTTTACATTTTATAGAATAGTATGCGATTCGTGGCTTATGTTAGAATTTCCTGCGCCTGATAGTGGCCAAATTTTGTTGATGAAAGCTGTCAAATTAAGAAATAAGTGGGATTTTTTATTAAACCAGCAATTGCAAGGTAATAAATGCATTTGCAAATAAGTTGTGTGTGTACATATTTCTAGAATGTTAAATATGTAGCAAAATTAATATGTCTTATATTAGGACCCAATGATGTTAATGATGAAAGAAAAGATTTTAGTAAAGTTGAGCAATGTCTTACGCAAGAATTGATTGAATATATGCATACTACGATACCATATACCATAAAACGACTGTTACCTGCTGATCTAAAAATGATATATGTTGGTAATGGTTGTAATGATACGAGTATAGAGCCTAATCCTTTCCAACCCGATTTTAAAAGTATACCAAATGTAATTAAAGGTGGAGTTTTTGTAACAAATAGTATTACATATAATTGGTGAGTACAAAAAAATCATATAATATTATTATTTGCTAAGCTGCTATTACTGTATAAAATGTAAAATTAATTATTAATCAATACAATACATTGTTTTCATTAATGAAATTTCAATTGTTACATTACAGTATAAAAGAAACCAATTGGAGTGAACAATTAATTGCAGAAATGCAAGAAACCGAATGGCATTGTGAAAATTGTAATCTCCAAACAATCCTGTCGAGTATCGAAAAACTTCAACATCAGAACTCTTGTAAAATTGCAGATATGATTACTGTTGATGCAAAAAATGAAAATAGTACACGTAAAGCTAATAGTCAAGCATACGAATGTCCTGATTGTTTGCAAACGTTATATCTTACACCTATCGAAATATTAAAGCATAAAAAATTGCATATTAAAGCAAGTTAAAATATCTATGGGATATATGGTTACCGATTGTACATAAATGGAATATATGGTTTATTAGAAGTAATGTTTCACATATAACGGATTCTTCTTTTATTTACAATTAGAGATATACATATAAGTATTTTATATGCGCCTATATTGATAGAGTTCTATATATACATGTTATTTACAATGTAGTCAAATGTTTATACGTATGTATTTCAAAATTCATAAAAATAGTTGTATTCTTTTAAATATTTATATAGAATAAATATTTTAGTACTCTTTGCAAACAGTTTTCGATTATAAAGATGTATTCTTTGCATATACATATATATTTGAAAAGTTTAGCAACGTTCTTGCAACAGAAACAACAAACGAAGAGACAGAAAGGAAGCACACATTCCATATAAAATATATATCAAGTCCATGGCAAGAAATTTGAAAACATAAAACAACCGACGATCGTATATCCTATAAAGTAAAATAATATAAATTTATCTTGCAATGTATATCGTTTTTGATATAAAAAAAATACTTTCCATTTAGAGCACATATTTTCGTCACTTTCATACTGTAAATCGATATGATTGGTACATTTGTGAGACATGGTTAATGCACAATACCAATATATCAAGGGAGTTGCAGAGGCTAATAAACGTGTACTAATTTGGATATGTACAAAGAATAAGCAAAACATGGTTAAAAATAATCCATGTATTACAAAAAAAAACATACTTGATGGATATTTTTTTACTTTAATATTTTCGCTTTTTGCCTTGCTATCAAAAAAGCCTAACAAGTATAATTCATCTCTATATTCACTAGCAAATTCTTTTATACATTGCAAAGTAATGTACAATATCGGAAGAGCTAAAACAAAATTTGGTATTTGTTTGAATTGATAATATCTTAAGAATCCGACATTCCAATATGTTTTTTGCACATACGAATATGCTAAAGGCACACTAGCATTACACCATATTGAATTTGTTTTACCTGCTAGAATCAGATTATTTTCTACAGCATATTGTAAAATGTGAACTGGCAATAACGATTTATCGAATGTAGAAATACAGAATTTCATATAATTGTATAATTGTAAAAGGACAAATGGAAATAGCGATTTAATTATTATGCTTAATATAATAAAATAGTTATTTAATTTCATTAATTTTAAAATGTGCCATAAGATTGACAGTACATTATGTTTTCGTCCATATGTTTCTATTCTTTCTGAATTACACAAATTTTTAAGCCTGAAATATATAGGGAAACCAATGTTGATGATACCATTTGATCTCACTAAAGTTGATAAAGCCAATGGAAAATAGATGTTAGACATACACTTGATACTTCCGAGCATAATATAAAATGTTAAATACGCAAACATAGATTCTGAATATAATGCCGAGAAAAATATGCTAGCCGGATTTATACAATAAAGTATGGCCGCTTTGTAAGCAGTTATAGTATTTTGAAATACACTCTCAGTGAGATCATAAAATATAATAGCAGACTTTACGAAACACACGAAATTAATTAAAATCGCAGCAACGATCATCGTACTTTGCATGTTGAATAAAGGAAATACTGTTGTCAAGATAACAGCGATTATATGAATCATAGTTGGATACAACGGATAAAAAGCGAGAGTATTCTCATATGTGTACCCATATCTTGCAATATGTAAAAAATATTCTCCATCCCAACGTGTAAGACCATTGAATAAAAAATTAATTATTTGATCGCAGAGAGAAATTTTCTCCGCAGAATCTAAAGGTCTTTTAAATGCATCTGCTTGATGATCGGGGATTAATACATTGAAAATTACTTGTAATGTTAATATTACGATTCTAGTAGTTATCGCGAACCAAAGAACTTTCTTTCTCGGCGCGTACATTTTGCGCTACTTTTATGCTCAATTTCTATAACGTTAAACGTAGTAGTAGAATTACATCTAATCATAATCGTAATGAATTATTAAATAAACTCGTAATATAATCTTGCTCAAGGTCTAATTATATCTACCAATGATTCAGATTTTTTGTTTCCTATGTATATATTTTTATCATATGAAGAGGAAGTAGTCGAATCAAGCCGCTAACGAAATCACAGTAAAAATTGCTGCAGCTCTAAATAAGTGAGTACTAGAGGATAATGCTGGAAAAGAAAATTCTTACGTGACATATACATACTTACTACATTTATTTTTTATATATGTTGCACTAACAACATGTATCTTACTTTAAATTTATTCATTATCGTAATTAATTTTTCATTAATTACTGTACAAAATACTACAACACAATTTCCACCTATATCCGCGCCGAACCCGAATAAATGTACGTATATACATACATAAAAATATCTCGTATTATAATTTACATGGATATATATATAAATCTTGTAATTTCTTTTTAAATCATCTCTTATATGCGTTTTGCTCTTTCGTTTTACAGTTTCTACATATTGAATTGACATTATGATATGTTTCTCTCTATATCCTAGATTTCAAGAAGTCGAGCAAGAAATTGAAAAAAAGAAATTGACAAAACTTTCGACAAGGACTTTACAGATTGATTATTTACTGGGTGTTGGAGTGGACATAATAGTAATCAACCGAATAAATGCTCACCGTATCATTGCAATTGAATATCCTGGTTACGATGGATGGTACAATAACGTTGGTAAACCAGAACTACGGGTAGTCGAAACTCCGTTATTGAAAAGACTGACAACAGCTTACGAAGATGAAGTGTATAAGCCTTCAGGTTCTAAAAGACCAGAACCATTAGAGATAAGTGAGAAGCTACTGAGTGGAAAAATTAGATCTAAATCAAGAACAGAGAGAAACGCTCTACTTGTATTTTGCGATATACGCGAATACGATTTATCTTATATATAACTATATTAAATATTTAAAATTACATTACTATCATTGATAAATTTACACCTCGAATTTATCAATATATGATAAATTATATCATGTATAAATTTAAACTGTCTGTGTGTATATATACATTTTATTTCATATATACATATATATATATATATATATATGTGTGTGTGTGTATATACATATATATATGTGTATCTGAAAATCTTTCTTTATAATTTTATATTTTATAGATGAATATATTCCGTTTAATATATTCCGCCAAATTTATAAATTTACAGACAAAAATAATGTAAATTATACACGCGCACATGCATATTTATCATCTATCAGATTAAATGCGTGTTTCATACACATTTTTTAGGTGTTAACATTCGATCATTATGGCCATTTCCTATTTCCTATTTGTTGAGTTTTTTAGATGTATTTAGAGTTTCATGAACTAAATGATAAAACTAGTTAGGACTAGGACAGTATTATTATATAAAACTTAAACGAATACAATGGAAAAATGTATCCTCAACAAGTCAACAGATGGTGGAGGAAATTTTAGATGCTCAAAGACCAGCATGCCCACCCGAATATATTAACATAAAAATTCATCACGGGTCATTCGCCGAATAATCCTCGTCAACAGGTATGACAATGTTACGGTCCTCGAAACATAACAACCCCGTTAACAAGCGACATAGTTTTTCAACATTGCTCAAGTCTAAACTTCGATATATTCGAATATATCGTAGCTGAACAAGATTATTTAGACGGTGGATTGATTTATGGTACATTCAAAGTGGCCCGACATTTTAAGAACGACTATCAGTGGAATATTGCAGGAGGACGGGCAACTCGCATCGTCAGATTTTTCTCTGTATTCCGATTATAATACCGATTATAATACCGTTAGATTACCGATGGCCAATCCACCGCCACCTATTCATCATCATCAATATGTTTCACGGCATTACACCGAGCGTCATCAGATATTTCAGTAAGTGAGAAACTTTATTGTCCATAAACCGATAAACTATATCAGAATTTTGTGCCACAGATACGTTTAGCATAGTCAGCTATATGATGATCCTTCGGGATACATTCGTATTCGATCTTCTCTGAATAAGGCATTGGAACGTCAATGCCGGCGCATCGAACCGCAGGTGCGTCCAGCTGAAAGAAGACTGGATTTTCCATCACTGTTGCAACGATCTCGGCTCCTACTCCGCATCTAGGCCAGCCCAGTTCAACGGTCATTAACCTGTGGGTTTTGCTGATTGACTTGAATACCATATCCCAATCCAAAGGTCTCAGCGATCGTAGATTGATAACTTCCGCCTCGATTCCTTGTCCTGCCAACAACTCGGCCGCTTGAAGCGTATACACGTACGCCTGGCCATGTGTCACTAGAGTGATGTGCTTTCCAGGTTTCTCCACCTTAGCCTTGCCGATAGGTATCTGGTAGTCCTTGTCCATAGCTTGATCAGACACAGGAAACTCAATGTTGTAGAGCAGTTCACTCTCCAACATGATTACGGGATCGGGATCTCGTACGGCCGCCTTCAAGCAGCCCCTGTAATCTTCGCAGGTCGATGGCGACACGACTTTCAAGCCAGGCGCACTCATAAACCATGCGGCAAAACATTGAGAGTGCTGTGCAGCCAAACCTTTGGCATTACCATTCGGCCCTCGGAATAGAATAGGAACGGGAAATCTTCCAGCGGACATGTAGAAATTCTTTGCAGCGCCATTGATGATACGATCAATGGCTTGCATGGAGAAATTAAAAGTCATAAATTCGCATATGGGTCTTAGACCTAGTAGCGCTGCACCAATAGCAATACCGCAGAATCCAGCTTCCGTAATTGGTGTATCGATTAGTCTCTTGTCACCGTATTTCTTCCAGAGACCACGCGTTATTTTATAAGCGCCATCAAATTCCGCGACCTCCTCTCCTAATATGAATACTCTCTCGTCCCGAGCTAACTCCTCGTCAAGGGCCATATTTAACGCTTCGCGCACTGTCATCTTTGTGACCGATCTATGGGGCGTTTTGCCTGTGGGAATCTTCACCCGCAGTATCTTTTTACTCCTCAATAGTCGAGCAAGATACATTTTAAATTAAATACTGTAATCAATCTTAATTAAATTTCGAGCAAACTTCTGATCGTTATCGCCTGATTTGATTTCAATGCAATTCAAACATGTGTGTTTCAGAATTAGGAAATCCTTGAGGAAACGAAAAACTGTTCCTGCTGACTTTCGGTATAATATAGTTTAGATGGCACAATTTCATAGCATCTCATGTTAAACGTCACAATTCAAATTGGTCGAATGACGAAATTTTTATTGAAGCCTGTAAATAAATGATAACGACTCAGCAACACATTGTCGACGAATGGTTGCCTTCATGGTCGGAAAACAGGCCTGTGTACGACAACATTTCTGTGTACGAAGGTAGAAAGTATCAATTTTCTAATTTTACGTACACAATAGATAACAATTTATTAGCTTACTTGTAATTTATATGTAATTCAAATGACAATTTGTTTAAAGGTTACAATTCTAATATCGATCTGCAGATAGAGCAATTTTTCCAATCGGCCGCTTTTGACTTTGAGCACACAACACAATACCTTGGTAAACAATACTTTTTATTTCTTAACTCTTAACAACAAATATCATATGTACGACGTATCGTCAACGTTGATAATATTGCAAATTGCAATATGTTATTCATGTGTTTGCGTTCTTTTTCTCATTCAATTGTATAAGGTATAAGGTGATACAAAAAAGACTTGATTTTTAATTAACACTAACAGGTAACAGTTTGTATTAATTAAAAGTCGTAAGATATAAAACTGCGCCTTACAATCTAAAGATGTGTGTTACAATTACAATAATAATAATAACATTACCACGATAATCATAATACTAGGTGTATACTTATCTATGAAAGGAATAATTGCTCCTTGGAACCATATCCAATTAGAATATGCAATAATTACTGAATGTCACATGTATTTGACAATTATACATAAAAATTTTGATGTTTCGACGTTCAAAACGCACATGTAACGTGAACGATGAATTGTTTAGAATTTTCTCTATGCCAATTTAACAAGAATAAAAGATATTGATGTGGAGAAATTACTAGTGGGACGGCTATTTAATTATGCGAAGAAGAGGATCATAAAATCGTTGAAGATCTACGGAGTAGTTTATTCGGTCCACTAGAATTTTCTAATAAAAATCTGGCTTGGGTGACTTGGACCCGTAGTAATGTAAATTCGATAGATTTTTGCCGAAAGTGAAAATTCGTTTTTGGTAAGTACCTGTTTATTAATGCTGTATTCAAATATATGTCTTGTTTTCTTACAATTAAAATATACATTGTCAAAAAAACTTTTTGTGAGACAGGCGTATTGGTGAAACGATCGTTCTATTTTCTCAGAGTTATAAAATCGTGAGTAAATAATGTCGAAATCATTAATCATTATACATATGTATATTTAATATAAAATATTTCCATTGCATTTTTTTTAAAAGAAGAAAATACCCAACACATCTCCGATATCATTTTTTCGAGCATGTATAAAAATGCCCC